AGTTTGCCTCCCCAGCTCTTTTCCACAGTTTTAATCTGACAATTTATTTCATGGTTGATGTCTACCATCCTTGTCTTGTCCAATTAGGGAGATATTTCTGACAGTTTCTTCTCAATGTGGATCTTTGTCTTGGTAGGGAGTGTCAGGTTGCCAGTATCAAGAGTTCATAGCCCACATGCAGCAAAGACATTTCAGTAACAACGAGCATACCTACCTCTGATATCTTGGCCTCCAATGCCTCACTAAAAAAAAAGCCAGGGATCCTTGGAGAATGGGTGATTCTGACACTTGACAAGATAAGTACAAAATGAGGCTGCAACTTTTTGTTGTTGCTGTTAATTGAAATGGAATATCACTCTGTTGCCCAGGCTGGAGTTTAGTGGCATGATCTCTGCTCACTGCAACCTCTGCCACCCAGGTTCAAGTAATTCTCCTGCCTCAGTATCCCGAGTAGCTGGGATTACAGGTGACTGCCACCACACCCAGTTAATTTTTGATTTTTTTTTTTTTTTTTTTTTAGTAGAGACAGGGTTTCACCATCTTGGCCATGCTACTCTTGAACTCCTGACCTCTTGATCCACCCACCTCGGCCTCTCAGAGTGCTGGGATTACAGGTGTGAGTCACAACACCTGGTCCAGCCTAGAACATTTTTTATGTTTAAAAGTAAATAAAAGTATTTAAGGAAAGAACAATTGCAGATACATCACAAGGACACTGAAGCCAGCTTGATGTGGTTTCCCCTAGTCAAATATTTTAAAACACTTGCAGCATCTAAAATAATAAATTATAGGAACAAACGATGTGCCATTGAAAAATCAGGATTTATGAGTTCATATAGATAATAAACTGACAAATAAATAGCACAGATAAGAGGGATCTGTGTTCAGTGGGATAGTCATTGTTAATTGGTGAATATATAGAAAGAGGTTGGGCATGGTGGCTCGCATGCTGCAATCTCAGCATTTTGGGAGGCCAAGGCGGGTTGATCGCTTGAGCTCAGGAGTTTGAAACCAGTCTAAGCAACATGGTGAAATCCCATCTCTACCACAAATACAAAAAAAAAAAAAAAAAAGAAAAGAAAACTACAAAAAACTAGCTGGGCATGGTGACGTGTGCCTGTGCTCTCAACTACTCAGGAGACTGAGGTGGGAGGATGGCTTGAGCCTGGGAGGTGGAGGTTAGAGTGAGCCAAGATTGTGCCATAGCACTCCATCCTGGGTGACAGATCAAGACCTCATCTCAAAGAAAAAACAACAAAAAACCACAAATATATGTATATATGTGTATATATGTGTATATATGTATGTATATATGTATATATGTATGTATATATGTATATATGTGTATATATGTATGTATATATGTGTATATATGTGTATATATGTATGTATATATGTATATATGTATATATATGTGTATATATGTATGTATATATGTATATATATGTGTATATATGTATGTATCTATGTATACATATGTTAGGACCTTATGATTTGAAGTAATAACAAAAGTAGTTACTTTATGGTAAGAGTCTGGGAACTGTGTACCCATACAAGATACCATCAATAGTCATAGCTGTTATTTCCTTTTATAAATAAATATTAATATGTAATATGTATAAATATTTTATAAATAAATATTGATATTGATATATATTATTTATATGTATATGTATACGTATATGTATATGTATCTGCATATATTATGTATATGTATATGCATATATTATGTATACATATGTGTATGTATATACTTATGTGTATATATACGTGTGTGTATATATATAGAGAGAGAGAGCTGGGGTTGGCACATCAGTATTTAGCAACTCTTACAGTAAAAAGTAAATCAGTCAAGGACAAACAATTGTTGCTAAATCAGAGGTAACATTTTGATAAGGATCAGAATATTTTAAAATGGCTCCCCACAGACTGCTTTAGTTGAATATATATATAGTAATTTTAAAGTGGAGAAATCAAATAGCTGGTTGAACAGACAATGTAAACTAATATTACCAATGGGGAACAAATGGATATTGTTTTCCTCACATGTGATGCCATGAGAAAGCACATCTCTTACACACTACTGTCCTAAGATATCTAACCTGAGTATAATCATAGCAAAATATCAGAAAAATCCAAAATGAGGCCCTTTCTATCAAAAAGGGCAAATACCGTATTTTTCAAAATGTTAATGGCATACAATATACAAGATAACAGAATTTACAGATTGAAGGAATATGAAGAGTTCTGACAGATCAAAGCAACACCTAACCTTTGTCTGGATCCTGCACTGAAGGGAAAAAAATGTTATAAGTAATATTAACAAGGTCAATTGAAAAAAATTTGAATAGGGATAATTGGTTAAATAAAATAAATTTGAGTGTCAAATTTACTGAATTTGATAACTACACTATAGTTATATATAATATCTCCATTCTTAAGAAAAATACACCAAGCGACGTAGAGGTTATTCACTTACCTTCAAATGGTTCAGAAAAAAAATAAAATATATATTTTGTGAATGTGTACATATGGAGACATGCCGACACACAAACATGGATAAAGAAAAAAAGCAAATGGGATAAACATAATATACAATGTAAAGAATATGCAGTGTGGCTAAATGGTATATGGGTGTTCTTTGTATTAATTCTTCTAACTTTTCTGTGCATTTGAAATTACTTCTCAATAAAAAGTTTAAAATTTAAAAAGAAAAATATTTTGTAGTTTAGACATCTTCAGCTAGCTCAGACCTTAGCCCAGTATGTTTGAATGGGAAGCCACAGTTCCCTTGATCCCCCCACCCCTACCCCCATCCCTACCTGGCTTCATCTAACATTCTCATTGTTCTTTAGTGCTCTCCAGTGATAATTTGGGGATTTTTCATATCTTTACATCCGTCATTCTTCTACTGCTTTTCTTCCTCTTCTACAAAAATGCTTACATCATTTGGTTCTATTGGTTATTTATTCTCACTTATTTGTAACACATGCATAATATTCTAAGGGATGAATCATCACAATTTAATTCAGTACTTTTATATTTTTGGACAGAAGGCTACTTCTATTTTTTTCCTTCTAATAAATAGGAAATTTTTGTTGAAAATAGTTTTGTCCAGATTTTTTATTGTTGCTTTAAAGTTTTAGAAGTATAATTCCTGAATTAATGGATATGGAGTTCTTTTTAGAAGAAACTTAATACGTATTGCCAGATTATGTAGTAATCCAGAAAGAATATATTTTTGTTAAAATATAGTATTTGCACACACCTCTAGAGAATAACTTAAGGACAAAAAGGACTGCATTACAAAAGGATGTAAACTGTTAGTACTAATCATATTTTTGGTGGTCTTGTTAATATTGCTATTTTGAGACAGATCTAGGGGGTAATGTGGAATAAAAAGAACAAGTAAGTGATATTCTAATCCTGTCATCCTTACCAATCTTGAAAATCTGAAGCGTTGGTTTGAAACAGAGTACATGAAGTTCACTAATAATCTCATAGTCCTGAATTTGAATAGGAAGTATTAATATGAACTCCTAATGTATTTTATCTTATAAACAAAACATTTTCTTAGTTTTTCCACTAAAAAGACACAATGATCAACCCAGTAACAATGAGCACTCCTAGGTCCCAGATTGCCGTCTCTAAGTACAATTCCCTACTAGAAGGAACCAGCTCATCTTGAGAAATGGCTGATTACACGACTGGAGTAGGAAATATACAAGATGGTGTTAGAACACTTTGTTATACCAGATATCAAGGAGATTATAAAAGACTGCCAGGGTCATGTCCAAATGACTCAATAGCCAATGTGAAAAGATTTATTTTTCAAAAGGTAGAGACATGACTTGAGGACTCATCCAATGGTATTACAGGTTATATTGAAAAGGAATGAGGTTGTGCTATGTGTACTGTCCTTAGAAGAGTTCTAGAATACACTGTTAAATCTTTAAAAAGGGCTGGGAATGGTGGTTCATGGTTGTAATCCCAGTGCTGTGGGAGTCTGAGGAGGGAAGATCTCTTGAGGCCAGTAGGTCAAGACCAGCCTGGGCAACATAGTGAGACCTTGTCTCTACAAAAAATGTTTAAAAAATTAGCCAAGTATGGTGACAAACACCTATATCTCTAACTACTTGAGAGGCTGAGGCAGGAGGATTCCTTGAGCCCGGGAGTTTGATGCTGCAGTGAGCTATAATCATGCCTCTGTATTGCAGTCTGGGCACCAAAGTGAGATCCCCATCTCAAAAACAACAACAACAACATTAAAACAAAACAGAAAAGAAAACTAATTAATAATAGAGTCATTAAGCAATATATAACATAAAACAATATGTAATATTATGCTTTTTATAGTGGTAAATATTCTGTGATAAATCAATTTGGTTTCAAGATTTTGCAAATTTTCTTGGCTGGTACATAGTCTTTTAATTTGAGATGTTATAGTAACTATTGTCAGTAGTTATAGCACTAGATTTTGAGCCTCAGTGGACAGGGATTATGCACATTTGGTGAGCTATTTGGCATTTATAAGGGTTTTATGCAAATAAATACATAAATGATTTTAGTAGATGCATTGACAAAAATAGAGAGATGTGTTAATCATATTTAGTAAGAGGGAGGTTATTAAAACTTTTAATTCATGCAGTTTTCTCCTTTTTGTATCAGAATCACATATTTCTTTTATAATCAGACAAAACAAGGTAAAGACAAAATAAAATGGAAAAATATAAGGGAAAGCTTAAGAATATGCCTCGCACACATCACCATCTGGAACCAAAATATTTTCACCATGCCAATGTTCACTGACCCAATAATTCCCTCTTGACCAATATGTGAGTGGAATGGATAACTTTCTATGAAGTTACTTCTGGTTCATTGGCAAAGAGCAGCCTATTGCACAACTGAGTGTCTGCTTACTTCCCTCCCATATTTTTATTTACGGAACAAGTACAAAAGCATTTGTTGCCGATTAGAAAGAAAAAGGAAATTCCAGAGAGTTTCTCAGAATGACTTTTATTTTGATGGATATTTTTTAATGAACCAAATTTATGTGAAAGGTTGTTCTGTTAAAAGTTCACAAAAATATCATGCATGATTGATCTCAAGACTGTGCCTTGATCCAAAGACAACACACAACAGCAGTCAAACATACATTTTATGGGCTTTTGTCTGTTTTGCAATAACACCGGAAAACATTCTTTAATTAAAATTTAAAACCGTAACTGATTAATTTTCTGAGTAAACAATCCTTGTAAACATGGAATGTCAGCATTTTAAGGCTGCGTGAGTATAAATTTTACTTCCGTTGCATAGACATCTGGGAAGGACTTTGGCACAAGCAAAAAAGATGACAAGGTGACCTGGAGGAGAAGGGCTATTTGGAGACCTTGCAAATTCTGTAATGTCACTCCTGTCCATGAGGTCGAGGCCCAGTCAGGGATAGGAAAGCTGCCCTGTCCTGTGTGACCATGTTGGCTTGGGCAGCTGTCACTCCATCTATAACTCTTTGCTAGCTGTAAATTGCCAGGGGCGGGTGGTGTCCAAAAAGCCCACCCGGTATCTGAACCTGCTGCTGCCTCATTGGGACAATGAGGAAGAAATTCTTAGGAATTTTGTTGTTGACATAGCTGTGCAGAATTTAGACTGAGCACTTCCATTTGGTTTCTGTTGTTAAACATCATTACCAATTGTTACAGGAGGCAGAAAGCAATCTCATTTCTCTTAAGCAAATATATATATATATATATATATATATTTTTTTTTTAACAGGGGGAGGTTTAAAACTGTTACTTAAAGTACTCTTGAATGGCTTTTTGAAGAAGCATGGAAATATATTGCCAGGAAAATGGGGGAGTATGTTCAAAGTAAGAAAAAAATCTAAGACTCTCTGCTTAGGCATTTGTGTAAAACCGAATTTTTTTTTTTCAAAAAGCTCATAATCAAGTTATTTTTATTAGACATTTATAGTCTTGCCAATAATAAATTTCGTGACCTCTGTTCTTCTAAAGTCTAGAAAGAGAACCAGAACTGAAGTGCTTTGAGCTCCTCCAGGTGATGTTCACAGCTTGGGTTTGTGTTTCCAGCCTGGTTCAGCTCTTTTGAACTCACTTCAACCTTTAGCTTACTTATCTAGACCAATCCTGCATGACAGATACCCTCCCTGGGGTGGGGAATGAAACCATTCAAATAAATACTTTCCTATTTCTGGACCCTGTTTTATTCCTAGTAAACTTATTTTTTTCTCATCAGTGTGTATGGAAGCTTTTTAAAAGAAGTTTCCAAGCTAATTAATTATATTATTATTACTAGAGGAAGAAGAAGAAGAAACTTTCCCCAATAAGAGAAACTTCAGTTTTTTGCCCTCTGCCTCCCAAGGCCATCATTTAAAATTTTGGCCATCATTTAAAATTTTGCAAGTGTCTGTGAAGGGATCTATTAGTTAATTTTTCCATCCTGTTGATTAGCAGTTTTTATTAAGTGCCTGATTCCTATAGTAAGTGGCATAGAAGACAAACATTCTGCATTTCTTTCATAGAGGAAGTGGAGAGGAAAAGAAGTTGCATCTGTAAGCTCTGCACTGAGAGGCAGACCTCAGGGTACTATAGGTTTGCTTCCAGATCACTGCAATAAAGCAAATATCACAATAAAAGGAGTCACACAAGTTTTTTGGTTTCCCAGTACATATGAAAGTTATGTTTATTTTATACTGAAGTCGATTAAGTGTGCAACAGCATTATATCTAGAAAAGTACACACCTTGATTAAAAGATAATTTATTGTTAAAAATGCTGACACTAAGGCACAGAATGAGCACACGCTTTTGGAAAAATGGCACTGATGGACTTGCTCAGTGCAAGGCTGCCACAAACCTTCAGTTTGTAAAAAACATGCTATATCTGCAAAGCACAATAAGGTGAGATGCAATAAAATGAGGTGTGCATGTAAACAGTGAGGAATTCACATTTAATGAGCACCAACTGCAAGTCTACCCAGATATGTTATCTGATATTATACATGTAATTTCAGTTTTTCCATGCCTTTGGGAGATGGGGGAAGTGACATTTTTATGAAGCTAGAAAACTTGGCAAAGGAGGCAAAGACAAAATGCTACTGAGTCAGGATTTCAAGATTTAACCTGTAGTGCAGTTAACTTCAAGCCCGAGTACTTCCTGTCATAGCATCTTGTCTCATAGTCGACAGAATCAGTCAGGCAGAGGGATAATGTGGGTCTTAATCCATACTTCAGAGGAGAGTCAGATGTGAACCTTAAGGAAAGAGAGAGAGAAAGCAGCAACCTGGGAAGCTAAACTGGGAGGCATGGTTAGGGGTAATTTTGTTGGGATAAAGGGAACGGGAGCAAACTGGAGCTGGGACGCAAGATGGCTAGGCTTTTCCTTTAGGCAGTGAAACACCTGGGCATGTTACAATTCCTAAGGAACATACCCAGGTATTTTCTGGTTTCTCCTTTCAAAGACTCCCTAAGACTTGGGTCTTTGTGGCTAAAGGCCACTCCTTTTTAACTTATGGTAGGCTGTTTAGGTGAATCATACCTACAATGGTCTTACTCAGACAACCATGCAACCACAGTCTAGACCCAAAGGTCTTTTTTTTTTTTTTTTTTTGGAGACAGAGTTTCACTCTTGTTGCCCAGGCTGGAGTGCAGTGGCATGATCTCAGCTCACCGCAACCTCTGCCTCCTGGGTTCAAGCAATTCTCCTGCCCCAGCCTCCCAAGTAGCTGGGATTACAGGCATCTGCCACCACGCCTGGCTAATTTTTGTATTTTTAGTAGACATGGGGTTTCTCCAGGTTGGTCAGACTGGTCTCAAACTCCCGACCTCAGGTGATCTGCCTGCCTCGGCCTCCCAGAGTGCTGGGATTACAGGTGTGAGCCACCGCGGCCTGCCCAAAGGTCTGTCTTAATGGAACAGGTGGATTGGTTTCTAGGAAAGTAGCTGGGAACATGAGATGAGATCTTCTGACATCCAAGTTATCCAAGCCTTCCCTTGGCATAAAATAAAACAAACATATAAATACCTAAGATGCCTACTTTCTCTTAACTAATAAACCAGAAAGCATATCTGTGGCATCAAATACGCACACTCTCCCACATGATCAATGTTTCTAGATCATCAACCTTAGCAACCACTACGAAGCAACATTCACCCTTTGCCTTATTCCTATTTAGAATAGTACTGTGTACCTAATTAGAATAGAACTACTCTAGAACTCAACAAGTTACTGGCAATGTTGGATGCCTGGCTTAGACAAAGTACTTGGGAATCTTGCTGGAAGGCATGGTGAAGAGTTATCGCCAATAAAGCATCCAAACCTATTTTCCACATAGGCATTTATTCTCCAAACCATTTTGAAAACTATCAGACCAAGAGGTACTGAAGATCATCATCATCATGCTCATTTTTCAGATAAGAAAATGGACTGCATAAAGATAACATCTTAATCTCAAACAGTCAGACCCACAATTCTCATGAATACATTTGGAATTGCCAGAATATGCATATGGAATCTTGACTGGGAAATGGGGTCATCATCTATCAAACTGGAGAACCTCACACAGTAAGCACTTTTTTCATGAAAGTGATATAATACAGAGTTAGGTGAGGATTTTTATCCTGGCTTCATTTTCCATGCACGTTACCTTAGATAAATTACATAACTTCTCTAACTCACAGCTTCCTCATCTGTAAAATTAGAAAACAAGAGTACCTGATTCATAAAGTTGTTGTGAGGATTACAACAACTTGTTAAGGAGGAGAAGATAAACAGGAGAAAATGAAATAATGCACACAAAGTGTGTTAACACAGCGATTAACACATTCATGGTTCAATATGTATTGACCTGGGCTAGTGTCAGCATTGGGCTTCCCCATTTCCAACTTCCTCAGTTTGTCTTTTTAAACTTCTGCCTCCAACAGTGTGCACACGGCCTCACACACAACTGATAATCCTCTCCCTCTATAAATGCTAGTGGGATCCATTAATATGTTCTCTATTCAAGTCTTAAGCTATAGGTTAGACATCCAGAAATAATAGCTGGTATTTAACTCTCGTCTCACTTTGTCCCAACAAATCCTTCCCTACCCTCTTTTGCTCTGAGTCACAGGCACACATATGGCATCATATTTCTTTATGTTGAGCTGGAAGGGGTGTTCATGTCGATAAGAAACCTTCCTCCCACCCCACTTTGTCTGCCCTGCACTTAGGAACCAAGGTTGAGTTCAAACAGGGGTCAGGGAGATAAAAGCCTGAGGCTTAACCACCAATTCACTAGTCTGGTGGCTAAAACTTTCGTCATTTATTTATTGCCATTAAAAAGGATGAGTCGGGTCCTGTGTCTTGATGGCTGTAGGCAGAAGCGCCTGCCGTTTATTATCTGCCCCTCAGTTGGGAAACAGAGCAGGCAAATGCCCCTTCCCCGGGACATGCTACCCTGCCTGTGTACTGCGATCTAAATGGAAATAGAAGTTTCCTTGCGCTTTATGGGCTCTTTTGTTTGTCATCAAGAGGCCAAGTACGGACATTTTGAAATAATTGTCAAAGACACAGCACATGCAGGCTGAGGGGGGAGAAGCAGAGGGAGGAAAAAGGACAAACACCCAAGGGCTGTAGCCTCCAGACTGAAAGAGATTTACTGCAGCCGCTACAGAGACTATTTGTTAAGGAGGAGAAGATAAACAGGAGGCATCTTTAGAGCCAATGGTCACGCGGAAGGTGCTAGAAGCATTCCTAGGCAAGAGTAGAGCCCAGCAGAAGCGCCAGCTGGTTGCGGTTGAGTCAGGTCTGTCGTGCACAAAATCTTTATCCCCTGTTCAGTTCTTTGCATGGGCTCTTTTTAAATGTTAGTGCTAGGGAATCCAGCCAGGCACACAAAAAGGACAATTGCACAACAGATTTGAGCTAACAAGCTCGTACTCATGCATCCAAAGAAAACCTGGAAGGCACCAGCCAGCGGAGCCTGGACGAGAAAAAGGGTCTTCAGAATCCCTGCATTGGCTGACGAGCTTGCAGGAGTCTGAGCGGTGCCATTTCCCTCCTGCTGTAGATCCCCCAAGCTGTCTGCCCCCCTCCTCCACTTTGGCAAAGCGAACAAGATCATAAACGTCAGATGTGGGCTTGTCGCTGTAATGATCTCGTGGCTATGAATAAAAATGTCCGGGTAACACATTTGTGAATCGAATCTCCATTCTGTGCGGTGGACCTGCGTGGGCCAGGGCTGCTGCTCGCGCTGACTGGGTGTGTGCGCTGCTCATATTAAACTTCTAGCCATTGAGAGTCCACAGGGTTAAGCCTAGAAGGCTAGAATGATATTTTCACCGCCTTTGATGACACACTAAAATAAAGAACGTCTCATTTTGCAGCAGAACATTGAGTCTGTGAAGCCAATGTACATGTGGTTACTATTTGCAGAATTTGGCATTTTCTGTGAATAGTATAAAGCAGGCATTGGATCGGCTGTCATGTTTTGACAGGGTTGTCCTTTTTTTCCAGAATGCCACTCTCCCTACTCCCCACCCTCCACTCCCTCTTATTTGAGCAGCAACCCTACCACTTTTTTTTTTAAGTGGACTAAGAAAATTGATGAATAATGAATTAAAAGCTGGACTGGGTCAGGAGTTTAAGGCACAAGGAAACAGTCACCCTGAAGAGAGTGGGGCCCCCTAAGGGGAGCCCAAGTCCCTGTTATGACTCTTGGTCAGATTGTCTCCAGACAGCCAGGGCCTCCCCCAGCCCCAGGAATGGGAACAAGGTCAGCCGCCAGATTAATTAACAATGTGAAGCAGGAGTTTAAAGCTGTTTTGTTTACAAAGAGCTAATCAGCCTGACAGCGAAGGACCCCAGCCCCTCCCTCTGCTCAATATATTAATATTTGATTGCTGTTTGGGCCTTTGTTTTCCTATTCTCTCAACTTTAGACCTTTCTTTCATCCACAACCCAGACAGGAATGAAGTTGACAATGAGAAATAAGTTTATCTCCTCACGGTGACACACATCCATCAGTTTCAGGCATGGAGGTAAACCTGGGTGTGAGGCTTCAAGTTCTCTGTTTGCTGTGTTTTACCTGTAAGCCATTATTAAACACACACACACACACACACACACACACAGAGAGAGAGAGAGAGAGAGAAAGAGAGAGAGAGAGAGAGAGAAAGCCCTCTTTGAAACTCCTGAGAATTTGGGACTTTAGATTTTCACCTTGAGTCCTCCATTTGTTAATTAAACTTTTATTTCAAAAGCTGGATTGGACTCTCCAATGACAACTTTATTTTTCTTTTACTTTTGTTCAACATATGTCACTTTTCCCTCTGTTTTCAAGGGAACAAAAGTCAGAGTGGCCCTACATTGAATACCTTTTTTAACCAATCCTTCAGGTTTATATCAAAATGGTCTCATTGTGAATCTGTTTTTCTGTATTAGCAGAAGCAACTGATCTGGCAGTGGAAAAAATAGCTCTTGCATGTATTTCAAAGAAACAATGGTTTTCTGATTAAGCAGCATTATCTTGCATGCTTTAATGAATGACACAATTACAGTAAAGACTGAAACCAATTGTCACGATGTCAACGTTGGCTTGGAATGAGTGTAGTATAAATCTACTCATGGAATTTTGCAGAGCAGTAATAGGAATATCAAACAGGTCATGCACTGTATTCTCATTTCATTGTTATTTATGTTTGCCTGGACTTGATTCAAAGTCTCAGAAACCTCTTACTCTCAAGATATTTTTACCTATTAAATCATCATATCCTACCAGAAGCCTGTAGATGAGCCATTTCTTAAAGAAAATGAAGTTCTAAAATTAAATTTGTGTTATTGTCTATCTTTGATTTGTGTAGAGGTCACCACACCTCATGGCCATAAACACACTCGTTAATCAGATGAAAATGAATGCATTTAGACATTCATTTATTTTTCATAAAACCTACTGAGAATCTACTGTGTGATAAACACTGTGATGACAATTTCCAGAGATATGAAGAAGATAAAAAAAGTGTGTTTTCGAATTGCTCTTGAAATGACAGATAAAACGATGCACATATAATCAATGATGAAATATATTTTATGTATGTAATACTATGTATCAGATAGATATATATTTGTTTCTCTCTGTTCAGGGAAGACTCTATGGCATGAAGCTATTATCATTATTCATCATCTATTGAAACAATATTACCATGCATGTCTTCAACATTGTACAGTTTAGTTTTTATATAATTAGTAAAGATAATTTGCTTTATACAAGGAGA